TGAGCCTGCCATAACATGTAATCTCAAACATCTTAATAAACTGTAAACGACCCTTCCTGCACCATCACCAGCTGACTATAGGTTAGCAAGGGTGGGTCAGTGGAGGGAGCCTGCAAACCCCTGTGGCATGTTGGCCAGAGCGCACATGCTCTGAGAGAGGCACTGCCCAACTCTTAGTTTTATCCCTTTCATCTCTGGGGCTTCTTCACTTGTCATGGGTGTGATGACAGGTGCAGCTCTGATCAGTCCTGATGCACTACTGTTATCACTGGGCACTGTACAGCTCTCCATGCCCATGCTTTTTCACCTTGTAAGCCTGAAAAGGGAGCAAATAAATACACTGCAACTAGACTACCCTGCTGATAGGCCAGAAATTTAGTGGTTGCGGTGCAGGGTGGGGGGAAATCCAGATGCCAGTTGGCATAGGAATTCTCTCTAATCTCCTTTTAGCAGCAGCCCCTAGGGAGGTTTTGGTTTACAAGCTGCACACTGTTCTTGGGTCATTGTTCCTCCTGAGCCCTAGGCTGGCTCTGCTGTGCATCCAAGTCAAGGGCTTGCTAGTAAAGGGGGAAAAAAACCCAAACAAAACCAAATCAAGGAGGGGGAGCTGCAAAGAGCTGAGCTAGAACACTTGCACAGCTCACAGTCCTACATGACACTTGGAGTACATCAGAACCACCCACACATCAACGCTGGCAAGCACCTTGAGGTGGGGTCTCTCTTACTAGCCCTTGTTCACTGCTGTCCTCAGTGGCAGGGAGGGGTGACAGAAGGACCAAGCCATTTGACTCCTTGGAAAGGAGGCAAAGTGGCAGTGGAAAATCAGGGAAGCAGAGTCTTGGGGTGTCCAACCAATAGGGACATGGGTAATTTCATGGGTACAGTAATCCTTGGAGTCAAACAGACACATTTCAGTTACTGCTTCTCTGTCCAGCCTTCCATTTCCGTAGTATCATATGAGAATTACATTTGTGAGGTAGGATTTGAATTAATTTTCTTACCATTAAAATAGCTTTTCTAGGGGTGTTTTAGCTATAATTCAACAACAAACCATCTGTATGGGGTTAATAACAGACTGAATACAGTCCTGGGCACAGGTTTAACAAAACGTTTCAGAGCACTAGTATGAGAAGGCAGAGGACAGTTCTCTATATGCTCTGTTACTAGGGGGCAAATTGAGGAAGACAATGGGAAAGAAAAAGTGGGATCTTCACTGCCAGTACTGAATACAGCTCCCAACAGTTCCCTTTTGTTGTTCGAGGGAACAAACAAAAGCTGAAGAAAACAATCCCAGTACACTTTCTGTCTCTCTAACAAAGACCAATGGTTAAGAGTAAAAAAAACCCTATTCTGCACTGCCATAAGGGAGATCCTACACAGATGCTGAAAAGACCATCTGTGTAATTCCTGCTTCTCTGTAGCACGTTGTTGCATGCAAGAGGCCTAGACCTGAACTTGAACACCTTTTTTTTCAGGCTGTAGTGCACTGTAGAGCTCTGCAAGGAACACTGCCTCGGTGACTACAGGTATGTACACGTGTATCTCAGCAAAGTACAGCCTTTGCAGACTAAATGAGTCTTCATTCCCTGGTCTCTGAGTTGGATGGTCTCTAGCTACCTCACTGCACTTCCAAAAGGCAGCAGCACATCCCCATTACCACTGTGTGCACTGCAATAAGCTGCTGTGTGTGTCACCCTTCTGTTACCAACAGTCATCAATGCACACAGTAAACAAGATGGACCTATTACAATAGTAATAAAAGTTATAAACACACCTGTCCACTCCTCTGGCAACTTCATAGCTCTGTCTGTGATGGCTATCTGTTGTAGCTACCAAATTGCTACTGTCTCAGTTCACACATCCCTTTTCTTATTTTTCTGTGCTGCTCTGAAGCTTTCCTTACCTAGGACTGGTGTCCTCATCAGAGCAGAAATACAGGAGGTCTCCAGGCTCAGACTACGTTGTAAATGAAATCACTACAGCCATCATTCCTGGACAGAAGAGGAGCCATTACAATGTCTTATGAGGCAGACATATCAGGCAGTCTTCAGTATGATCCAGTTTCCAATGCAGGGCAAGTTCAGTACCACAGGGTGAGCAGGATGCAGTTCTAAGGCCAGTTCCATTGTGCAAAAAAAGGTTTCTTACCCACTATTTCTAGTAGAATGCAAAACATCAACTTTATGATACTGGGTTGTCTTCACTTAATAGGTGAAGGAAAGGCAATGAAATCAATCAAGTAAATACAGTTTTCAACACATAGAGAGCCAACAGTGTGATATCAACACTATACTGATCGGTGGTAGTGCAGAATCATTGATGGCTATATGGGCTGCCTATAACCTACATTAATTGTGGCTTAGAGTAAGAGCAGCAATTTGGACTCAGTGCAAGGAGGAAAACATGCCTCATAATTCTTTGAAAATTATGCCTATTTAATTACTATTTTTTTAGTATTCAAAATCACTAGAATATATTTGTCAACATCTGTATAAAATTAATAGCTAGCATGTATACTAGGATGTTTAGTAAAAGAATACCTGGATTTCCAGAACTCAGCTTTACAGATATTTTCTTTTGAATACAGGGAAGCCATTTAAGCCCTGGATCATTTTGATGCAGCTCCAGCAGTGACAGATGGAAGCAACTAAAATCAGTGTCTTCTCCTCTCTTGAAGAGAGGCTTCAGATGCCCTGTAAAAATGCAAGACTCTTTATCATGCAGCAAGTCAATGAAGAAAACATGAGGCAGTTTTACTCATTGGGTAATAGATTGCTTCAGAAATT